TTCACGTGAATAAAATATTCAACAAAACACATATACCTACATAAAATTGGGCCCGAATCACAACATACGTTGTCGAATGGAACACGATTCGAATCGAATGAAATAAAATTACAGCTGTTTTTTCTCCTATTAAATTTGAATTAAAAAAGCGAACTCACTACAAAATGCTCAAGAAGAAATTTCGTATAAAATTTGATTCCATCACGGATTTGCTTTTACGGTCCCTGTATTAATTTAATAGGATGAAGACTTATGGCGTTTTCTTTTCTCGAAAACAATGTCACCTTGCTATATGGCTAAAGAGTTGGTAGATCTAACAACAAAGTGGTAAAGTCCGTCCACTGTTTATGGCCCTGTTTTGCTTTAGATCCCATTTTTTTCCGCCTGTCCAATAATATGACAACTTTAGTCATAACACGTTCGGGACTAAATTCACTTTGTAGCAAAAGCAGATCATTTCGCACCAATCAGCTTTATTGTGATATAGTTCACGACAGCGGCTTTCCGCCAAACATACGGAACTGGGCAATCACTAGACGGCCTACCGCTTATTTATTATGTCCAGGAGTTCCGAACAGAATTTCTTGTGTCACACAACTTTAACAATTACACCAAAAAATTTTAAACTTTTTATTCAGAAGTTTAAGAAATTTTAGGTATTCTGGTAAGATATAGCAAATTAAATTTTTGTAGGTTAAAGTGCAAATTTCAAGACGCTAGGAAATCGCGTTGGTTTTTATTATTTTTTTTTTTTGACTGACGGTGTTGTGAATTTTCTCCATATAAAGTGTGCTCGACAATTACTTTTAGATGGAGGAAAATGTCTAGCACCATAAACCCCGAAGCTCCTGCCTGTGTCTGTAGACTTCGAATTGGCTTAATCAAATTTTGGCCGCTCAAAATGCGTAACCATCACACTGTGCGTCTTCATATGTGAGATCGTTGTATTAAAATCAGTAATACTGCTTCCTTCATTACCTGTGCACACACATTGTTGGTTGTTTGCGCATTTTTGGATAATTATTTTTTATGGTCATTATATTTGCGCTTTTCAAGTGTGTCTTTGCGCCATTCCATCCAAGTAAACATGACTAGTTTGACGGCTAAAGATCAATTGTGATTCGGCATCGGGCATAACCAGAAGCGCATACAGGCTGCCAATCGGCTGTGTCTAGGCCATCTGGCTAACCAACCATGGAGCTGAGTGGCCGACCAACTGACCGACTAGGTAAAAGCTAAGCGTCTGAAAACACACATATACACCAGTGTTGCCACAGACAAATTTTATTTCCTACCAAAATTTCCTACCATAACCGACCAAAACCTACCAAGATTTTTTTTTTTTTGTTGTTTTTAATATATGTTTCTTCTATGTCAAATTTATTAAAAACATAGATAACACAACATTTAGTAAAACTAAAACACAGCTAGTACAATAAAAACAAATTAACTGCGTATAACAATTCATTTCACAGTACAGACTTATCCAAATGCATGTCTCTTTAAACACAGCGAAAAAGAGAAAAGAAAGAAATGTCGGCGATGAAAAGACTCTCAACATAGGTGACGGCGAGGAAAGAAAGACGCGTTAACCTCTTTGACGGCGAAGTAAATACGCATAAACTTATTTTCGCGGTCAACTGTATTTGCGAGTGTAACAGTATACGAATTCCCCACGCGTCCTCTTTCGTCGTCAAAACACCCGAGCGTCTTCATTTGTATCTAACGACAATAGGTTTGTATAGTAACTTCTCCAGTAAAGATTACAGCGAGAGTGTAAAAGCAAAATAGAGCGTAAAATTAAGAAGAGGATAAAACTAGCAAAACTAGTAAAAACTTGCAAGTGAACAGTTGTTGCACTGTTTGATATGTAATTCAAATGGTGCGTTAACTTGCAGTGTGCTGTCAGGTAGCTCTTAAGAATTCTAAGTTCGAGTTGTCTTACGGAGTTCCTCCTGGAAGGAGCTATGAATCTCTTTGATTGCCTTATTCCCCGTTGATTTCCGCCAGTTGGCAGCAATCTGAGATTATTCCCAGCTAGCTCCTAAGTAGGTCTGTAGTGTATGCCTTAGATGTACAATAAAATAGCTCGGGACCCTACAAGCGCATTTGGTGTCCACGCTTTGCGAGACAGTCATTTCTTTCGTTGCCTTCAAAACCCTTCATATGCCGAAACCCACCACAGCGCTACCCTATTGTGGGCTCCCACGTGGTTTAAGAGTTCACAAGCCTTGATGATTAAAAGAGTCTAAGGCCCTTAACGCTGCCTGAATATCCGACATAATATTTGTTCTGGCCTCATTTGCTGCCTTCTACGATGACATTCGCGAACACAGACTTCGACTGCGAAGACCTCTGCCTGGAATATGGTTGGGTACGAGCCCATTGGCAGACTTTTCTGGAATCTTGGCCCAAGTACGCCATAAATTATATATGGATGTTCATATTGTATATTGGCAATAATAATGGTTTACGTTGGCACTTAGGAATCAGGTATATTTACATGTTCGCGGCCGCCGTTATACGAACGCACCGCTGAAAAATTCGCGTAAAAAAGGTTGCTAAAATGTTTGGAGATACATATTTTTCTATTTTTCGCAAATAACTGTTACTCTTTGTCACGGAACCTACCAAAATCCAATCAAGCCAACCAACCTACCAGTTGCGAAAAAAAACCTACCAGTTTTTGTAGGAAAAACCGATGTGTGGCAACACTGATATACACGCGAAAAACAAGCAGCGATTTATTTAAAATAATAAAAGTAATTGCAGCAGCAACACTTTTAAAGTGATGTGAAGTCAAGTGAAGTGGGCAGTCTTGTGCATACGGGAGTGTGTTTGTATGTATGTATGTATGTATGTGTGCGTTAGTTAAATCGAATTGTTGCTAACGTCATCGCCTCGACGCTGTCGCTGTTGCAATCGGCAGTGACAAGAAGTCCGAATAAATGGCCATGTAAGCCAAAGCCCAAGCGTCGCACCAACACAACTAACCCAAAATCAACATGGCCAGCAGCACACACAGACAGGCTTGCAACACGTGTGGCGGGCCGACCGGCATTGAGAATGAAGCTGGCGATCATTTGGGCCCATGCGGCTGCAGCTGCCTCCGCGTCTGCGTATGTGTTTGTGGCTGTGAATGGAACAACTCCTCCAGAAGTGACTGTTGCTGTGTGTTGTGTTTAACGGCTTATTAGTTGTTACTGTTGTATTTTTTTTGCGGTTTTGCGCTTTTCATTTTATTTTCGTCAAGTATCACAACATAGACTTGCACTTTTGACGGCTACGTATTGCATAACAGTTTAATGGCAACTTGTTATTTATATTTTTATTTGTATGTTTTCTGTTAGAGTTTTCTTTTTTGCGGTAAATGCTTATTATTTTAAATACTAACCTAGTTCCATGATAGTGAGCTTGTATGTGAAGTCAAGTGGAAATACCGTTATTCACTTTTAATCAGTTCAGCAAATATATATATAACCCAAACTTGTTATTTCCCTGCCGCTTAACAAGTTACCGTTTTTTGTTTTTTTTGTTAGTTCATTTCGATTGCGTTTCGCTTGGCAATGCGTGTAATTGGAAGTTGTCGGTGAGTGACTGTGGCTTTGAAATTCGATGGTGCCTCGATCCGCGGCCACGATTTTCAAATAAAATATTACAGAATTATGGCAAGCAACAATACAATTGAAAATTAATGCGAGTTTGCCAATCTTTTGAAATTCTAGAATAATTGTTCTTTTTGCATAAAACTATGTATGTACATACATATGTATGTATGTAAGTAGGTGCATATTTTTACAGTTGATTAATTGGATTGAGACTTTCAACTTTGGTGATGCTTGCAGCGCATTCTTTCTGTGGCCTTTGTATTACATATTCGATAGAAAGGTACGGCACTACTAAAGGTGCTCTCGAAAAGCTCAGTCAACCAATGTAAAACCAAATGGTCACGCTGGCAAACACTTGTAGAATGCGAAATCAAGCCCTGCAAACCTTATAAATCCGTAGGTTTAGATAGCATTTCTTCCGACGCGCTTCAGGCAGAATCTTGCTTGATTGTAAGAAAGGACGCCTGCTCTAAAGGAAGGTCGTAGGACTGCACTTCACCAAAGTGTAACTTCTATATCTAGAAAAGTTCAAGCAGCTGGTCTAGTTAGTTTTCTGGATGTAGAAACGGACGTAATCTCTACTCCAAGCTGGACTTTCAGTACCTTTGGTCGAATTTTTCCGAATCCTACTCAGTAAATGTCGATTAGGGATAAACTAAAAAAAAGAACGAAGGGACACCCTCATCTCAGTATGGTTGTTGTAAACATCACTAGTATCTGCCTAATGTGAAAAAGCAAGAAGAAAGGGCTTTAAAACAGAGTACTGCTGTCGAAGCTGTGCATACAAAGAGAAAATCGAAACCATGGTGCCACTGGCCGTATGGAAACACATCATAATATTTTGGAAACAAACTCTAAATCCAACACCCTTCTTCTTCTTTATTGGCGCTGTAACCGCCTAAACGATTTTGGCCGAGTCCCAAACAGCACGCCAGTCGTTTCTCCTCTATGCCAACTGCCGTCAATTGGAAACGCCAAGTGAAGCCAAGTCCTTGTCCACCTGGTCTTTCCAACGCAGAGGGGGCCTTCCTCTTCCTACCTCTTCTACCAGCATCGCGACCTTTGTTAAATATTTTTATTCTAGCTGGAGCGTTTCTGTCCATTTGTATGACTTCACCAAGGCAGCGTAACCGCTGTATTTTAATTCACTATTCAACACTCATTAAGCTTAAAATAAATTCGCATCGCGATACCCTGATTTATTAAGACCCTTGGCTCATATCACAACACTTGGCAATCAATGATGAATAATTATGCCTCATCAATGTCGGGGGTAACTGCCGTAAAGAAAAATTCAGGGATTTCTTAAAACTAAGAATTGAAGAAAAGTGTTGACTTGAAACCACATTAACCCCGAAATGATTTAATCATTTTACTTCCATTATTTTCCAGCTTCAACTCTACATTCGAAATGGCATCTAAGCCGAAATTTTGCTTTGAAAGTGAGCCGCAGGTTACCATCGATGATGTGGATTGCAATGAGGAAGATCGCATTGCCGCTAGCTTTGCCGGACGTACGCTCTTCATTACCGGCGGCACTGGCTTCCTTGGCAAAGTGGTGGTGGAAAAATTGCTCAGGTAATGCGGCAAAAAAAAAATTTACCTACCTCACGATTGTGTCTAATTAAGCACGAGCGAATTTCGGCGACCACAAAGCAAGCGATTAAACGGTTTGTGGCGTGGCAGCGATTAATTTTGTGCCAGCCTGACACATAATACATACAAGCACACTTCAATATATCCAAATGTATATATATACACATGTATAATCTTACAGATCCTGTGGCCAGCTGAAGAAAATCTACTTATTAATAAGACCAAAGAAGGGCAAAAATCCCCAGGAACGTATTAAGGACATGTTCAGCAATGTGGTGAGTAATGGATTCCGCTTTTGTTTTGTAGCGCCTAACAAAATGCCTGTACCTAATTAGTTAGTTAACTGTACTAAATGAAAGCATTTATTTTTCTCCTCATATTCTCCTGGCACCCTGCTTGCTCAGCTATTCGATATGGTTAAACAACAACGCGGCGAGGCACAGATACTAAGTCAAGTGGAGGCGATTGAAGGCGATGTGCTGCTGCCAGGTCTGGGCATTTCAGCAGAGGATTTAAAAAAATTGCGCGAAGAAGTATCCATCGTTTACCATTGCGCAGCGACCATACGGTGAGCTGCAAAACTTTTTATTTGGGAACCTTTGTTATGAATTTTGCGCTCGCTGTGGTATAGTGGTAATCAGTGCGCGCTTTCGCTCCGCAGGGCCTGGGTTTAAGCGCTGGCCAAAGCAACATCGCAAAAAAATATAGAAAAAAAGGTTTTTTCTTAACAGCGGTCGCCCCTAAGGCAGGCAATGGCAAACCTCCGACTGTATTTCTGCCATGAAAAACAGCTTCTTATAAAAATACAATCGCCGTTCGCAGTCGGCGTAAAACTGTAGGTCCCTCCGCTTTGTGTGACAACATCAAGGCGCACGCCACAAATCGGAGGAGAAGCTCGGCCAAACACTAACATATGTGTAAGCGCCAGTCTATCTATTATTATTATAATTACCCTAATTGAATGAAATAGATTTTTGAAACAGTTGGCAAGCCTCGTTCTTGTAGTTTAGAAATAAAGACTTTTCAGAATCCTTTCGATTGATACCCATATTTTAATAAATCATTTACACGGAGTATCTGAATTTATGCGGGTTTTGAAAATGCTGGAACGCATTCCCTGTTTTTGTATGAAAGTAAAGAACTTTTTTGTGAGTTTTTTTTATGCGGCTTCCTGACGAACGCATGACCTAAGTGTACTCTGAAATCATGCTTTGCAGGGGTGGGGGACAGGGCGCGGCGCGGTGCGGGGAGCCAGCAAATGTGCACCCGCCAGGTTATGCACTCGCAAAATTAAAATTTACCTAAGTAAATATATTTATTTTCCAATATCCGATAAATCCAGAAATATTAAATAATTATTTATTTCATTTTATTAGTAATAATTTGTATCAATTTAAATAATTCATTGCATTTGGACGTAATGTTCTCTAGGGCGAAAATTTACGGTTCGCCGGTAACACCGCCTTATTAATTCGCCTTGAGAGTTTCATTTCAGAATATTGCTTTATTACTCATTTGCGCAAATTTGAATTTGACTTTATTTCACTTCTTGATTTGGAAATAACGCCTTATGGTTTTATTTCCAAAACAAAATGGAAATAAGACCATATGGCGTTATTGCGTATGGTGTTATTGCACCCCACCCTTTGCAGGGTATACATATCCATACGAATATGAATACATAAAGAAGCTGTTTTTGACACAACGAGTTCATACACACCCATAAATTATTTAATCATGGTACATATTTGGTTCTTTAAATCGGAAAATGTCAAAAGCAAAGAAAGAAACTCGAAATGACTTGACAGTACAGGCGCATGTGTACTATTCCCTCCTCTTTTCACCCGGTAGCCGGTTCGAAAGCTCTTTCTCAGAAAACTTTTCAAGAACACCCTATATCAGAATTTGGTTCAAAAATGCCCTATCTCAACTGAAAATATCTGTGGTCATAACCGCAATAACCGCCTAAGTCGACTTAAGAAAGTATTTAGTTATATATGCTATCGTTTCTGCAACTACTAGTCCATGTGTATGTGAAACTCCCATCCCAAAAGTTATAGATGAAAATATTTTAGTTTCCCCATAAGGTTAACATTATAATCCAAATCTTCAAAGGGTTTTTCTCGAACTCAGGTTTTTCGAATTTTGAAATAGGGCGTTCTTCAACCAAATTCTGAAGCAGGGTGTTCTTAAAAAACTTTCTGAAATAAGTAAGGCGTTTTCGAACTGCCTGCCGAGATAGGTCGATCATCAACTCAGCTGTCGATGTATTTCTTCCTATTTTCATTTCCATTTCTGCTCACTCTATCTTCCATACACAGTTTCGACGAACCCTTGCGCAAGGCTGTCTTCATGAATACGCGCGGAACACTCTACATGCTGGAACTGGCTGCTACACTTAAACACTTGGACCTATTCGCTTATATTTCCACCGCGTATTGCCATCTACACATCAAGACACTCTACGAAAAGCCCTACGATCCACCTGCAGATCCACACAAGGTCATACAGGCGTGCGAGTGGCTCAACGATGACGAGGTCTCCACCATAGAGAAGAAAATTCTTGGCGATATACCCAACACTTATGCCTATACCAAATCGCTCGCCGAGGCGTTGGTAGTTGAGAAATTCAATGAGCTACCTGCGGTCATACTGCGGCCCTCCATTGTCATCCCGATCTGGAAGGAACCCCTGCCAGGCTGGACTGATAACATAAATGGGCCAACTGGTTTGCTGATCGGCGCCGGCAAGGGCGTAATTCGTACGATGTACTGCAACTCATCTGGGTATGGCGACTTCTTGCCTGTGGATATTGCCGTGAATGGCATGCTGGTGGCCAGTTGGCGATACTTGACGGCAAGCGACCGCAGTCAAGTTAACCCCGTGGCGCATATGACGAGTTCAAATGACATAAAGGTGTCGTGGAATGAAATCATCGAATGTGGCCGATGGGTCATCGAGAACAAATTGCCCTTGAATGGTGTGGCCTGGTACCCGGGTGGATCGATGAAATCGAACTATTACGTTCACGTGGTGTGTATGGTGCTCTTCCATTGGATACCGGCGCTGTTTGTGGATGCGCTGTTGATACTATTGCGATATCCGCCAGTGTAAGTCTGAATTTTAACTGTACATTTTTTAATTATTCTATTTCAAGATATTATTTATAATACTGTTGACACTATTCACTTGCAGTCTATGCCGCGTGCAGAAGCGCATTAATAACGGTTTTCAGGTTTTCGAGTATTATGCGAATAATGTTTGGAATTTCGATAACACGGAGGCGGTGAAGATGCGCGGGATGATGAATAAAAAGGAGCGCCTCACCTACATTATTGAGAAGATCGACGTGGACCTGATTGACTACTTTACTCAGTGCGTGCTCTGTGCGCGTCGGTTGATACTGAAGGAGAGCGACGAGACCATACCAGCCGCCAGAAGACACATGAAAATGTTAGTCTGTGATAAATATTATCGGCGACAATTATTGCTGATAAATACTTATTAATTTTCATTTCAGCATGTGGTGCGTGGATAAGGTGGTCAAAGGGCTGTGGATCACATTGATCGGCTATCTTTTTTACAGATATACTTTCTCCAGCTACTTCAGCAGATCAACGACATTGGCTCAACCGCTGGAATCATTTTAGTGGACATTTATTTTTTTCTAAAAATATTTGTCTTTGTTTTAAGTAAAATATAGTAGTTAATTTTTAACCAAATAAATCCACAATTTTTTGAGTATTTGTATGGGCAAGTGTTTTCATGCATATGGGCAAATCTCCGGAACCGTGTGCTTTTGTGGCACTCACCTTCAAAATAATTCTATTAATGTAATCATGATAAAAACATAAGAAGGTAAAACCACAATGTAATAAACAAAGTGAAAAAATATTTGACGTGCGCTTATTTGAAAATTTAAATGTAAACAATTCGTATATTTGTTTACATTGTTCACGTTCAGAAGGCGCAACAGCTCAGTAACTGTTGCGATTGCACCTTCTGAACGCGTTGTTTTGCACTTCTGATCAACTGAACAGTTGCGTGTTAGATGATAGCAATATTTTTGTGATCATTTGAGACAACATGTTGTGTGTTTTGAATTTGATAGCTAATGTATCAAGCCGTTCAGAAGGCGCATTATGATCACTGATTTTTTTAGCAACGGTTACGCTCAACTTCTGCGCCTTCTGAACCTACCCATTAACCCTCTTTCGGCTTTGGTTTGGCATTAATACTTGCATAAATGATATCATTCGATTTGAACTACTAACCGCCACCTAGTTCGCCGCTCCCCTGCTATGCCGCCTCGGAGGCCGGCGCCTTGTCGTCGTCGTTGTTCCGGTCCTCGTCCGCCTGCATCACAGCTCTTACGCGCGGCTCTTAGGCGCTCAGCTTTCCGGTCCGTGGGGTGCACTACCACTCCCAGGCGTTGAATTAGATTGAGGACTGCTACTGCGATAGGGCTCTGAGTCATCGGTTGTCACATTTCCCTAGGGGACTCTTGCGAGCAACTCACTCTCCCTGTCATCTTTCTCTTCTTCTCCTCCTTATTGTTTTTATTTCTGTGCAGTTTTTTTCATTTGGGCGTACGACCACCTGCGCGACGAAGCGAACCCAGTAGTCAAAAACAGTGGCGGGAAGCAAACATTCCACCGCGGTAGCGCCCTGTCCTGTTGCGGCCTGGTGTCAGGAAGGCTCCGTTATAATACAACCGATGTTTTAGACCCCCTGTCTGCAAATCCTCCAATAGGCACGGTCGAAGCATAAGACCATGGATTAGGGGATTGGTAATTCTTGATCACTGTTCACCCACAGCTCGAGGCCGGATCGGGGCGGCGCAGATGAAGGCTGGCCAAGCACCTACACTGCTCAGATCCTTCGTGGGCGATTCAGCTAAGCCCATGCACCAATGAAATGGTGCCTGCCCTAGCGGAAGCCTTTTAGATAAAGGTCGGCGACTAATTGAGATGTAATAATGCCCGTATAAGACCACTTGCGACTACCCACTTAATGCCAAATTATACCCCATTGCGACTAGTCCCGCAATACTCTCTTTTAATATTAGTCGCACAATTTTTTGCAGGAATTACATAATCGCACATTAGTCAAACGACCCGCCCATACTTTAGATAAGCGAAATTGTGACTGTGAATCGCAGCGATTTGAAATAGTGACTAATAGGGCTCGGAAACTCTTGCAAATGCATGTTTTCATTGGGCATCTTCAAATGGGAATGGTTAAGTTATATTTACGAATGATGAAATTACCTTTAAAATGGTCTTCAATCGTTAGTGCATATTTTGCAGTAAATGCATAGTTTTGCATATTTTGCAAAAAATTTCTGTTTTTGCATATTTTTGCTTTACTTTTAATTTACAACCATTTAAATTGTGAGTGAGAAATCTCCTTACAAATAAATTGCCGATAAATTTTTCCCAAATATCCATCCGAATATATTCACCGATCTCAGTCCACGGAAGGATGAGGCTTAAGACACTCGACAAGCCATTTCTGCCAAATGTTTCTCTGAATGTCTCTCTCTCTGTAACTGCCATACCTAAACAAAAGCGTTTGGGCGGAGCGGTTTCTGACGCCTAGCGTTAGCGCCGAAGTGGCATACCTAAACAAACGCTACGTCAAATGCAGAAATAACACCAACAATAAGCATAGGTTTGTTTGTGTGTAACACGAAAATGACAGTTTCGCCGTTTTCTGCAGCCAACTTCAATACCTAAAGCCCTGTCAAAATCGAATTTTCCAACCGCTCAGCGTTGACGCCGCGTTGTTTCGGTATGTTTCACACAAATTGTATGAGCATGAGAATTTTTTGACAGTCGGACAACGCTGACGCTTTTACTTAGGTATGGCAGTTAGAAATTCATTCAAGCCGCCTAATGGCTGTAGGTGGCAAAGTTGCTAATTGCTTATCACCAAGGTGCCAATCCACTATTGATATTATTAAATTACATAACCGATTAAAAAGGTAATGACGACAAAATAAAAACAATTAATTTGTCTTTCAGCTGATATATGAAATGTATATGCTTGTTTATATATTTAAGCCAAAAATATTAAAAAAAAAATTATAATTTTATCATAAAATAGCCTTTTTTGAAAACATACATAAATAATGTTAAAAAGTTTATATTATTTGGAAATTTCAAGTTTTTACCTTCAATTTGATATATATATATATATGTACGTACTTATTTTGTTATGATTTGCTTTTGAGTTTTCATAATTCAGTGATAATAAAAAATATAAATGCATTTATATGCAAGCAAGTGTGAGGTGATCACACATATATATATATATATAAACAAGCATATACATTTTGTATATCAGCTGAAAGAAAAACTAATTGGCTTTATTTTGACATCATTACCTTTTTGATCGCTTTTGTAGTTTAGAAAATACCAATATTTTTAAATATCGAAAAATTTTAATTTAACCGCTTATATGTACTCTACTTTTCAAATGCGCCAAATAATAAGTAAAAAGTACTATCGATCTGCATTTATAGTTTTCCATAGTTTTTCCAACGGTTGGTTATCTAGATGTGTGCCTTTATTTTTGTACCAGCAATAACATATTTTTAATTGCATATTTTACTAGTTTATAGTGCATATTTTTGAATTTTGAGAGCATATTATTAATGAAGATCCCTGATATATTAAGCTCTAAGATTTCGCCAAGAGTCCTTTAAAGAAACAAATTCCCTCCTTAATTCCAGCTTAATTTTTAAATGCAATGTAAAATGTTGTCTTTAATTATTTTCCTTCCTAATTTCACAAATTAAATACAAATTTTCGAAGTTATTCTTAAAACACATTGAAAGCGACGCGCTACGGGAGACATTTGTCAAATTATTTAAACACGTGAAGTCACACTGTATAAAAAAAACTTTTTCACTCCAACCACCCTGTTGCATACCATTTTTTTCTAACTTATGATTAGAAATATTGGTTTCAATATATGGTTCTTTATTCTTGTATTAACAGAGAACGAATATTTATGAGTGTATTAATTCTTTTACATTCCCTGCTTATTGGTTAAAAAAAAAATCGTAGTTTCCAAAAATTGCAAAATTTGTTGTTCGAGAGCAGTCTGTTACCCGTTTCAATCTGCTTGCATTCCTCTACGATAAGACACAAATACTCTGGCAGCACTAGTTCGATCATATGTTCTCCGGGCAGCATTGGCCAAATTTTACGCAAATTTTTCTTATTTTTTCGCTTTCAATTCTTTCCAACAAAAATTAAAGTTCGGCAATATATTTCGGCAAGAATTCAAATACGCAAACGGTTATAAAAAAAGTTGTCAAAACGCGCAAGTAAATGCAAATAGTCAAATAAAGCCAAGTCAAGGTCGTTCGCGACGAAAACTGTCAGCAGTGCACCAAATCGGTGGTTTGCAGTAGCAGCTGGCAGCAGAAGAAAAAAGTGAATATAAATCATTGGTAGTGCAATGCGGAAGTGGTCGGGGCAGTTTCAAAAGCAGCAGGAGCAGTGGGTTTATGCGGCACCTACTTTTGCATTGAAAATCGGAAGCGAGTGTGTCTAAAACTTATTCTGAGTTGTGTGGCCTAAAAATTAACGCCTTACGGCCTTTTTAGTTGAAGTGACTTTTTTGTTCGTATTAAAAGTAAGCGGCGGTCAGTTGAAGTTGCGTCATTGGCGGTATACATTACGTGCTGACTCTAGTTAGACTGTGCAGCAAAGTTGGTGCTTATATTTTAGAAGCGCTTACGATATTTTAGCACCTGTAATCGCTACCATATCCTACTAAGCCATGTCTACTACGCTGGAAGGAACACTTAGTAAATGGACAAATGTCATGAAAGGTTGGCAGTATCGTTTCTTCGTGTTGGATGAGAATGCTGGTTTGCTGTCCTACTATACGGTGAGTTGTGACCTTGAACAAAAGCCAAAAATTTAAGTATTGAAGCTGCCGGTTTTGCACAAAATCCATAAAAAATTTATAGCTCCCATCCAAATGCAGGGCGCGGCGTTTGGCAAATATCGTTATAGGGTATGAGTCCAATTGACACAACACAACATATTCATAGATTACATATATATCGTCGCACAGTGGCCGGAGAAACTGTGTTTTACGCGAAAATGGCATAATTTAAAACTGTGATTAATTAACCGGAATAACTGTTCTTATTCAGAAATGTCCAACGAACTCAAAACTGATTAGTACATTCAATAATATCTGCAAAGAAAGCCGTTCTTACAGTTAAGAGTGGATAAATTTCTTAACAATTTTTTTTATGGAAACTTTCAATTATAACAGTAATTGCTGGTTTGGTCTTACTTCTTAAACATGGAATATAATGATTTCTTATGAAATATTTCATAATAAATCTTGGTTGCTAATTATCAACACCTTAAAAGCAGGGCTTATTTTTCAACAAATATTTTCTACAAGAAGGTATAACTAATTTGTAGGGCCGAGTAGGGTCTTCATTCCTTTACCATAAACGAGTGCAAAGGTCCCTTTAAGGATCTGCGAAAAGAAAAACGGTTCATACCCGTCAGCTGACACGATCTAATGGCATCTGCGTGTTAAAAAGAACTCACCACCACGTGACCGTGACGTAGGCGTTGCTTCTCTTTCCATCAACAGAAAACTTGATATGTTTCTACGTAGTTTTACGCTACGCTATGTACACGTTCGTGGTTAGCCGCACTCGAAAGTGTATTAACATATTAAAAATTTATGTAATTTATTCTATTTTAGCATTACTTATATCATTTATAAGATGTGTCTTAAAAAAGCTGAAGTAAATTTTCAACAATCCAATAACGAATCCAACGAATGGCGTCCAAGAATTTCAAAAATTACCGAATTTCTTTCTTAAGTTCGCTCATTCGATGTCTGTGCGT